ACCAAGAAGTTGGAACAATCGATCCTTAAACCTTAATCATATATATTATTTTGTTAACATTTACAAGAAATATTTATAAGTGTAAGAAATACTTATACATACTTATACATGTAAAAATATTAAATTAACAATAATTAAACTGTATTACACATTGTCGTAAGTTCACAAGATAGCTATTCTGCTTAGGTCCTGTATGAACGTATAGATTTCCTGTAATAACATAACATAACTTTATAATGCAATGTTGTTTTATAAATTATTCGTAAGTATTTCAAATTTAATTTTACTGTCAAACTACTCTTAACTTAACCTTATCTGCTTTTATTTTAAAGTAATACATTAGAAGTAGCCATCTTTACTAGTAGCGATATCACAAATGAATTCAGTAGAAAATTTATAGCGGAGTTCGATCCATCGGAAACAGATGTCTCAACTGTTGAGTCTACTGAATGCAGCCATTGACAAATTACTCAACTGTTGAGTCTGCTGAATGCAGCCATTATATCTGTCTCCAATCTGGAGCATATAGTGCGTCACTCGATGTTTTCAATCGCATATATCTTTGTATGTAATGTATAGAATTTGAACTTTTTTTTATCGATACGTTAAATAATAAAAAAAAAGAAATGAATGAGTGCAAAAAAAACAAATGAATGAGTGCAAAAATTGAGAAATTGAAAATATTCGAAATATTCGGGAGAAAATGAAAAGAAATCATTTTTACCTCGCGAGAAATATGTTTTTCTTTTGGAAATTAATTTCGAGGAGAAAATAACTTTTTTTCAGCGAGCTTGCAAAGGTAATTGAACATACTGTAAGAAAAAAATCATTATTTCGATTATTTAAAAAAAATATATTTTGTCGGCAAGGTGAAATTAGATGGTTTAGAAGTAAAAATATAAATTCATAGAAGAAATAATTTTCATTTTGAAACTGAAACATTTTGATTATGAAACTTCAAGATACATAATCTAAAAGATATCTTTTTGTCTATTTGAAAACAAACTATTTTTAAAAATATCAAGCCATACACCCTAGATAGCACAGATAATTAAAAAAGAATTTAGTCATACGTCACCATTTCTGAGTTCATTTTTAGGTGCAAAAGAATTTTTTTCACTGAACTAAACTCTGAAGAATTCTTTTACATCTGAAAATGAACTCAGAATTGGTAATATACGGCTGAATTCTTTTTGAATTTTTTTTTTAATTCTCTGTACTATCTGGGACGCTTTTATTCACAGACTTTATTTTAAGTCCTTTAAATTTCTATAAAATAACGTCAAAAATTATAAAAAATGTTACAAATCAATTTATTTTCACTTATTAACAATAAATCTAAACTTATAATACACAAAAATTTTTGAATTATTAGAGTAAGATTTTCAATAATTTGTATGTTTCTGGAGCTCTGGGTTTCTGTAGTGCGCCCGTAGACTGACAAATCACGACTATGGGAAATTCCTATTCGACCTTCAGAGCCTGCTATGGTGGGGAATTAATGGAGATACGAAACTCTTTTTACCCCCTACTCTTATTTCTTCCATCTTTATGGCTTGTGAATGCCTAGCGTTGTTATGCACAGCTCGGAAGTAAGTAACCCAGAGCTCCAGTTGAAGATTAATCACTATCAATTTTAAACATTAAAATACTTGTGATCACTATAAGCTGTACTTGAATCACTAAAAATTACTAACAGTATTTTTAATACTAAAAATCAGTAATTAATCGCTAGATTAATGGCAGTAATAAGGATAAAGGAAATCGGAAACGAAGATGTGTTTATATACTTTTACTCAGATTTATATTATTATTAACATGAAGTCTCATGGCACATCAATTTTATCGGTCTCGGTCGCATAAAGAAGAAGTATCGTCTGCAACATCAAATGTACTTTTCATTTATTTGACTACTTATCTTTACAGATTATTCTACCTTATACTAAGATACAACTTTCCCATTATATTACCTCTAATCGAAACATTACAATACCTCTAAGTATAAAATAAGCGATAGAGCTTATGCTGGTATGTAGCAACGACTTAAGTACTTCTACCTAAGTAGTACTTCTTAAAAGTGGCGGGAATAAATCTGTACCGTATCCCATCAACGACAAGGCTACTGCTACTCGTCGGTGATCGTGATTACGGTTTGGCTTTATCGAAAATCATACGAGGCAAGTGTCAAGATCCTCTCGACGGTGTGTCCGACTATCCCGATTATTCGCCGATCGAGCATCAAACCGTTACGGTGCACTATAACATTGCCAGAAAAACAATTAGGCCTCTAAACTACAATTCGCTCATGAACACAACCGAGTCTCTCTCCCCTTCTTCCTCTTCCTCTCCCTCACTTTCTCTCTCTTACTCTCTCATGTTTGTGTCTCTAATTTCAAATAATGAAAATGTGCACCGTAAAAATACGCCGAACCATATCGGTAAGAGGGTCGATCGCGACGGGATGTTATCGGTGTAATAGTGATCCGTAAATTGGAAGAGAGTTCAACCATGAGACGCGGCGGATGGGACGCGCGCGCGTAGTTGGATCGCATCGCTTAAGGTACACAATTACAAACGAGTTGGTGCTTATAAAACATTATATGGTGCAAATGATGTTCAACGATAGGTGCCCGTCGTTGGATCCGCACGCTCGAGGTTGCTCCACTTTACGGCTATGTGTATATTGACTTTCGTGTGTGAATGTGTATGTATTTGATGTAAAAAAAACGATTAATGCGTCGAGACGTAAGCTTTTTGGTTTTGTTATGCTTCTTCTTTCTTTCTATTTCTTCCCCTCTATCTATCTATTTTCCTTTCTTTCATTGTCTCGCGAAAGAATCGAGACCGAAATTTCGATCTGCGATATTCTATTGAGCTTCCCCTTGCTACAGCTTACGATTACCACTGTTCATTCTCCCGCATCACTTTTGAATACCTTTGAGAAGATTAAATCAGATTTAGGTAGATAATACGAGTCTAATAAGTAAAGCGCTTGAGTGTTATCAATGTCACGCGAGTCGCAGCGTCATTTCTTCCGTTTCACGCTCGTGGTTACGCTTATAGACATTAAATTACGTGTCGGTTAATTTAGATGTATTTTTGTTTTCTTACGGACAGCTTGCAGCGTGTGTGAACAAATCGGATAAAACTTTACACAATTACCTATTACCCTCGCGCCATTCTCATAATCGTAATATGAGTAAGTAAAAGTGTTCACTTAACACGCAACATTAAGGACCTTATCGGACGAATATACAAATCTATGCTCCTATATAGATATTCGTTAATATTAAGTACGTTACTGTAGCCCCATAATAGTACAATGATAAGAATATTAATTAATAATGATGACAATAAATCGTAATCGTAATAATAATATAGGCAAACTCTCGTAGCGTTGTACTTAGCGTTATGTAAAATAGTAGCGATATTTTTGTTTTTTTCTTTTTATGTACTGAATGCTCGAGTACGGACAGAAATCGATTTGAGTTAACTTGCTTTATGTATATTAGCAATATGGAGGGAATTCACTAACAACTTGCTCAAAGAGTGCAGCACATTCTCACACATCTATAAACAAATATAAAAATTCTTCTTACACGTCCTCTTCAATCTGATGCATTCTCACCCATTGCGCTGATTGAATAATGCGAAAATGCGTGCCACCTAATCGAAAGCACGTCATACTCCGTGAACATGTGTCATTCGTCGAACGTTATGTCCTGAACATTGTGCCGTCCATCACTGTACCCTACGATTTGACTACTTTTAGCGGTTTGCGAACAATATTGTCAATTTTCTCTCTTTCCCTTTTCTTCCCTGATCTTAGCCCAATTGAACTCGAATGTGAAAAGCGGCAAATGCGGATGGAATGTCGCGTGCTTCTCTCCGTTTTCTTCTTTTCGTTTCACGTATCTCTCATTGTGACGAAAACAAAACGCCGAGATGCGCTGCTATACATCGAGTATGCTCGACGGAAAGTCCATTTCGATGCGCACGTATGAACGGAGCTAGTGATATCGTTGAAAGAACCAAACAATTCTCTTTCGATCTTTGATTTCCTCGCTCCTTTTCTCTCTCTCTCTCTCTCTCTCTCTCTCTCTCTCTCTCTCTCTTTATACACATACACACACACACACACACACTCTCTTCTTTTCTATTCTCTCTCTCGCTCTCTTCCATTTCTTTGACGTCTTCTTTCATTCTTGCTCACATTCTTTCATGCACGAATGAAACGAGATACGAACGATTATGCAGAAGCACGCTCATAACGAGTGGTAAGATACCGTTATTAACACGTTGCATACATAACATTCTTCTATGCACTTAAAAATGATTATACGATTACTGGCGACGATCAGGATCGCGAGTAAGTCGCAACCATTGCACCCGTCGGTGTACAGCGAAAGTCGATCATAATGCTACCGCGATCTCGCAAGCCCGAAATGTGATTTGATCGCTAAAACGACGGCACTATGCATTCACTTTTTTTTTATACATCTACATGTAAATAGTACGGCGTATTTTTTAAGTATATTGATACCTAAAATGCTGAGGATCGCAGATGATTTGCAACGACAGTTATCTTTGACTAGACACACGCGCTGAGGTACCAAAATCTGTGCCCTTGCACTATGGCGCCTTAGATGCTATCGATTTCGATATATGTCTTCTCAAACGTCAGAAACGGCGTTCACAAAGTGGAAAATTTGGCCGCGTTCAAAGCTACCTATCTATTCGTTTCGCACTTTACTCCTCGTCTATTCCCCCATACCTACATCCAAGCACTTCTAGAATAGGAGTCATTCGTCCGCGTATGCGAAGTAAATGATGATTGAGCTGCGCGAATACAAGATTGCGTAATAAATCACGGAGATGCACTTTTAAATTATCACGCCGATCAACTGCGATCCGTAACACATCCGTTTTCAATGAATTATATTTACGCTCTTCCATTGCCATTTTCTCTTACTCACAATTCTCTGTTTTATTTCTTAAACTCTCTCTTATCTTCATTCTCTCTCCTTCCTGCTGTGCCATTCACAATTTTCTCGTTCACAAACTATTTTTTACTATTGCCGTGACAAGTTCGCGAACGCGTCCGTCATCATCGTACGACTAATAAGCAACAAAACACCTCCCTAGATAAGTAATCGTTCGTTACGTAAGATTAACCGAGATGACGATGATACACTATATCGAGAATGCGTACAAACAATCGAATACTTATATGTACCTCGTGTCTCACTCGCGAAACAGGGTGCAGAATAATGATATTAATACTTAGTAGTACTATTACAAGACAGCTATCACACGTTCTACGATGACGTACGAACGAAAATGAAGCTATTAATTCTATCACTTATGCACGATCAAGCATCTTCTTCCCCATCGTTGTTGAATGTCAAGGTAAATTGCTCCTTGTGACACACACACACACACACACATACATACTCTCACTCTCTCTTTCTCCCTCTCTTGTTCGCATACTTACGTTTCTCATGTTTTTTCATCTCACATACTCTACTCTATCGTCGCTCGGTGCATTCTAAGAATCGCCGATGACGCACTCACACACAAACTATCCTCGACGAGTCGCGGAATGTTTATAGGGGTGAATTCGGGATGTTATTTTAGCCTAAATAACTTGCTTTGCTGATTAATATACGTCGCGTGCGAAAATACTAAGAAATATCCTCGCAAAAGTTAAGCTGGACGGCTTTGATAAAAATTAGGATCTTTTCGAAGGACGCGAACATCAGGGTGTAGAAAGTGTAGTAGCAGGGAACTGTTGTTGAAGGCGGTCCTGGAGAACATCGGTGACATGTTGGTAACCGATACATTCGTTAGGACACGACCAGTCATCAGTGATACACAGTGCGTTCGCGTGCATGTAGTTCGAACTGAACGTACAAGGTGCTTAGCCAAAAAGTTCGACGTGAGCGACATTAATACGTCGGCGAAGAATACAATGCAAACCTCTCACAATAATACGTGTCTCTCTCTTCCTCGCTTTCTCTAAATTGAATAAAGCGCGAGTATGTTGGTACGCGTGTATGTGCATGTGCGTATGTATATGTGCTTGTACATAAGTGTGAATGTGTTACATATATGTTGTGTGTGTTGTGTATGTGTGTGTGTTGCGTGCATGTATAATGTGAAGAATATATCCGTATTTACACATTGGACATTAACAGCTAAAATGTCGCGTGGCCAAATCCACGTGCAGTTACAGGCATAAAAATAACGTATGTTCTTGTCGGAGAAGCGATTCCTTGTCCGGTTTCGCGTTGGCGACTATTTTCCCGAATGATGTGCTTCCTCCTCCCGCGCAGCGTGAGGAAAAGTCGCGCGATCAGCAACTATAAATAGTCGCAAACGTAGGTAGATACATCCGAATCTTCATTAATTGACTAGCATTTCGAGCGGTATGCGTGTAGAGTCTACACCTTATGAACTTTCGCGATGGCCGGATGTCTTTACACGCGGCTATCACGCGGAGGTAAACACCCAGGAGCTCTGATTATATCTTATTTCTTATGTACTCCGCTCCGCTCGATTGCTCCTTCACGAAGCACTGCACGCAGCCACGAAAGCGAGTTTATTGCTAAACACTTAAATTCGCAGGTATCTCGATGCTAGGACGAATACATGTCACTCCTTTCATCGCCGTTCATTGCACCTAACCCGAATCCATTTGATATAGCATACTCCGCATATCTCGTGAACTACGGCGGATTCAACGAAAATCCGACGAAGAAAAGCTGGCCCGTACAAACTTCGTATTAATGATACACAGTTACTCCACGAATTCGCGAGTTGACACACGATCAATTGGGAGTCCTTCGAACGAAGCGCTATGTGTCCGTGAGATGCGAGTAAGTTCGTAACAGAGGTTGTCGTAACTGTTTAAAGAGTGCGAGTCTTCTTCGGCATCTCGTGAGAGCTACGCATGCGTTCTTAGGCGAAGAGGAAATCGTAATTTCAGTAACGCTGCTGGAATTCGTGATGCCATCTGTTAAAATCAATATGGAATATCACGATGGACCCATTTGCCAGACCAGCTAGAAGAAACCTGCAAAATGGAACATATTCATGTACTTGTAAACTGTGTATGGTTCAATATTGAAGTAGAAGTCTCAAAATGAAATTTTAATCATGAAATTAAATCATGAAATTAAATCATGAAATTTCATATAAGAAAATACTCTGATAATGAAGAAAATATATTGTTGCCGTTTCGATTAATATCAGAAGCGATAAAACGTTCACCCAATATTCTTATAGAATATGTTGAAATGAAAGAATATGTTCATAAAATGATTTATGATTGATTAAGCAGCCCGAACAGCACAAAACATTCCATGATCATTTTGAATGTGTCCAGGGAATGTTCTAGGTCTTTACAGAAATTTAATATTATAAATTACTGAGAAATTTGCAGTGACTATACATCTTAACAGTATTTCTGCAATTATTTGACCAACGCTTAATCATTCGTTAATCAATTATTGTGAATATAAACTACTGTTTACAACAATATATTAAAACAAATAATGCAAGTCTGGAAAATACACCCGGTACGTATACAACATTCTGATGTACAATTTTATTCTCCAACTAAATTTAAATTATCGTGCCCAACATTCAACGACAACTCTTATATAGCTTATCATTTATGCTCCAATTAATTTTACTAACTTTTGATCATGAGCGAGCGCGAGAGAACGCACGCTACTTTCGCACGCGGGAAACGCGTAGAGTAAAGCAAGGTTGAAGGTTCGCCAAACTTCTACGATGCCCTTATCACCTCCTGTCATCAGATATTCACCATCCCTGCTCAGTAATAGGCACTAAAGATGAACAATAATGTTATGATCGTCGTAGATCACTAAAAGAGAAAAAAGGAGAAATGATAAAAAATTACTTGTAAGTTGTCGTTATGAGACTCGTGACGAAGACGTTTCCCGTTGATGGTGAATGCTGCTATATGTCCACGTTCATAATTTACCACAATAACACCTTCGCGTGACATAGCAATGTTCTCGGGTGACGAAAATCCATTTGGTGCTTCCAGCGATCTCAGGAGGTCGCCGAATGTGGTGTGGACAAGTACTGGACCATCTATAATTGAATAAATCCAATAGTCCTGTAATTGCTTAAGCTTGGGTATTCGATTATCTGAGGTAGCATGTATTTTTATACAGAATATATCTGACGATAACATATAAAACTCTCGTTTATGTATAGACTGGGTCAAATTGAATAAAAAGTTTCTTTACCATTTTGTAAACAACCTCGTAACATTTCAAATTATTAATTAAAGAAGATTAGCGAATGTTCACAATGTGATATAGTGCAAGGTGTAACAGTAAGTACTTGGGTTTGTTGACTAAATCAGAATTGGGAAATAACACTTATTATACGCCGTTATCGTTACTTTTTTTCGATAACGATTGTTACTTTTTTCTGTTTGTAACGGTAATGTCGTTACATTTTTGCAATGACGGTAACGAATTCGACCATTACTTCTATTATTACTTCAATTATCTCTATTAATATTAATATTAATATTAATATTAGATAATGCGCTGGTCTTACGCTGATAGCATGATAACTTAGATATTCTTGATTGGTTACAAATATCTCGATATTCGCTGGAAAATAGTACAGTGAATAATATAGTGGAAAATAGTAGATAATAGTGGTTTTATGATAGCTAAATTTCGACAAAATGAATTTGTGTTTAACGGTCAAAATTTGAAAATGACTTTGCATTCATGGAGCAAACAACCCATATAGTACAAATCTCTAAAAGACTTCTTAAAGAGTTCCAAAAAAGTCCCCAAGTCTTCCAGAACACTTTTAGAATTCTTTAAGAAGTCTTTTAGAGATTTGTGCTATATGGGATACGATCAAAATTTGTTGGATAACGAAATCGAATGACAGCGAAAGGAGAAACCAAACAACGCGGTAGCATCGCGTATGTTGAGTATTATAAAAGAAAATATAGATCGATGTCGATAGTAGGATATGACATGACGCGACACTACGCTAACTTTATCCGGAATGTTCAGGTCTTCTGACATATTTCGTAAAATATCTTGAAAACTAAAGAAGTACTCAAAAATGTAACGACACTTTCCTTATTAATAATTTATATTACGAGCAATACGGTTCTTCATTACACACATGATTTTGAGCCGCACGTCTATATTTGTCGTTGCTAAGATATAAAAAAAAATCCAAGACATGTCTTTTTAGATTGTCTTGCAGAGTTCATTTCACCGTATCCTGCGCATTTATTTATCCTATAGTTTCCTTTCATTCATATTTCAATAATTGTCGTTGTTGTGTTCGTAAAATAATAGAGAATTTTCTTACACAGTTTAATAAATTATATCTGCGTATGCGCATACTCGGACATTAAATCCAGACATCCTATATATCCAAAATGGAAAGAACCTTGCTTATTTTGAACCTATCGCGATTAGTAATATCTTATATTGATCGATAGAGAAATGATAGACAACTGAAAATTTGATAAGTTGTTGGAAAGATCGCCGGTTGGTATTTCAAAGTAGTTTATGTTATCATCAACCGTTAGCATCAACACCACGGAGAAGTGCCTTGAACACTGTGAAATTGAATAAAAAATGCCATTTAATATTTTCTCCCAATATTTTAAAGAGCATATTTCTGAACAGTGACGACTTAGAAAATTGTATCTATGGGATATAGATAATCCTTCAATTTAACTGAAACCCTAGAATCCACATAAAAATAAGCAAAGTTCTTTGATATCAATTTTTCTTTTTATTTCTACATGTGTACTCGTAATACGTACAATACGATCCCGAGACAACCAAACCCAACTCGGCGGATATGACGACAGCTGTTACAGCCTGTTCGTGACCAGTGAGAGTCGCACGAGGTGCCGGAGCTTCACCCTCACCGACGATTGTCTGCGTCCTGGCGTTCCAATGCCACAGAAGGACAGTGCAGTCCGCACTTCCGGATGCGATGTAGCAGTCGGAAGTAATGTTGCACTCGCTACGCGATAAGCAAGTGACGACGCCGTAGTGACCGAAGACAATCTGGACAATTTTTGCTGCAAAAATTTTCCTGTCTTGTAGATATAAGATTGACATTCGATCATTGCTTATCGAAATTTGCGATTGATTGTGAATCAAGATTCCTAGACAGACACATTTCGATATTTTGATGCCATGAAATTATGCGAATTTAATTGTCTTGATTAAAAATATAGCATAATAAAATAAGGATTGAAATGTTCGTGAAACTTTGGAATCAGACAAAGGAGAATCCACGCGGCTCAAACCCGGAAACCAAATCTAATATTCATGAATACCGCGAAAGTCTCAAATATCGAATGAAATAATATTTCTTAAAATAATATATTTGAATGTATTGTTAAACATGTGCTATTATAAGTACAACACAAAATATACATTGAGTGTGTACATGTTATGCATCTCTATCTAAATTGATTTACCTGTTTCGGTGGAGAACACACGGAAGCTGTTGTCCCAAAATCCGCAAGCTACCAAAAACCGACTATCCACGGTGGTGACGAAGCAGTTGCTGCGAATTTTAAGTTTCTGGCTGAAATTGTCCCCCAGATGTCGACGTAACGTCGGATTCGAGCTATTTGCTGCTTGAGCTAAGAACATAGGAAATAGTAGTAGTAGTCCTGTCAATATTAACTATATGATTTCTATATCCAGATACCTAAATTCTATGGTGCTATTCAAATTCGAGAATAATATCTAAATAATACTCATCTGCCATCCGTTATTCATTCTTCTAGTAAGTGATTTCGTACTAATTAATTTTGTCATTTGATTTTCTAAGTTAATTTTACAAGGAAACCCATAGTGTTCTCTTCTAATTTTGATGGGTTTGTAACATGTTAAAATTCAGACTAAATTACAGAATAAATATTTATACGTAAGCAAGCTTAGTGGATAAAACACTCTTTGACATTTTTTTTTCTTTCTAAATAAATAATACGTCCAAACTATAAAAGATAAACAAATTTTTTAAACAAAAGTTTTATTATTTTATATTTATTTCTTTATTATGATATTTAAAAACTTTTTGAATGGTGTACACGATATCTAAAAAGTCAATTATTTGATTAACTTTCAATTTGGTATATATTTTTGACACACACACACACACACACACACACATATATATATATATATATATATATTCTTAACAAAATTATATAGGACGCAACATAGCGGTTTCGAGAAAAATAAAAAAATTATGTAAGTTACAGCAAGTTAAAAGCAAAAATACGATTTTCTTAAAAAATTTAGCTTTTAATATTTATTATAAAAAAATGGTTAACTGTATTAAAAAAATCCTACGTTACATACTAGATAGTCTTGTTAAGAATAAGTATGTTATATTAGAAATTCAAGGGACAATTTGTTTTCAAGATATCGTGTACATTAATCACAGTACACTGTTTCAGCGAAGGAACTTCGTTCGAAATATTTTATAATTATTTTTTAATATTTCTTAAACCATTTTCACAAAATTTTTATCAAATTATTTACTAAACTTTCTAAATGAAGAAAATTGTTTAACATCGATCAATGTTTGCATACTAAAAATATTATCTTGAAAAAAAATGTCGTTTATAATCGACACGCATACGTATACTCACAGAGAACGGGATCCATGGACAATGGTTGATTGGCAGCCTGCGCTTGAGGTGTATCCGCATAACTTGGTGATTGCACGGAGGCTATGGAAGGTTTAAATTACAATGACCGTGAGATGACAGGAATCGACACGAGTGTCGAAACATATAAACATTACTCACCTGCGTAATTAGTATTCCATCGATTAACAGCAAACTGCTGCCCAGTAGTTACCGTCACAACCGATGGCAGTGGCAGTTGAGGATAGGTGTTGGCCGAGATATGACAGATCGGTGAATTAGACGGGAATTTGATGGTCATGCACACGTCGTCCGGGATGCTCGAGAACATCATTGGTGTCTGAAAATATATACAAGTATGAACTTTTTAAAATCGTATAGAGCCATTTCTGTAACTATATATAAATACACGTACAATATCAGTCAAAAGTATGAGATCGCTGGTAAAAATGTTTATCCGTTTATCAGCAATCTTAAACTTTTAACCGGTACTGTATAATGATGTGACAGTACTGTCAAAATATTGGTTCGGTTTTCAAAATAAATATATAGTGTCATATACAATTAATGCAGACAACATTAATGCAGATAACACTGATTAATAGGTATTAATCCTGATTTAAATGTTTTAATATTTAATATTTGATATTTATTTGACTGTATAAGAGAGAGAGAGAGAGAGGGAGAGAGAGAGAGAGAGAGAGAGAGAGAGAGAGAGAGACCGGGGTTAAAATTAGCTACTGGGATAAATTGGCAAAATCGATTATTTCCATTGTTCTTTAACAGATTTCACAATTAAGTAACCAGAGATTTCAAAGTCATTTTTAACATGTTTAAAAATCTTGCCTGCTTAATTCTGTAATTTATTAGAAAATAGTAGAATAGAATTTCGAATGTGTTTTTTTATGTATTCTTTTGTGCATAGAATTTTAAAATGAATTCATTATTTCTCCATCACTTACAGTTTTTCGTGACGATCATCTGAGATCTAATACATTGTACATGAGACATTTCACGTAATTCGCAATTTAATTTAATTTTTTTTATGTTCATCACTTTTTTTATGTTCATCACTATCAATGTCAAGTATAACATAAAAATTCCATAAAAAGTTTTTCCAATCAAGCTATATATGTTTATAGAAATTCTGTAAGATTAACGACTTTGTTTATTTTATACGATTTTTCTCCAATTAGGCACAAGATATGATAAAAATTGACACATTTTCTACAAGAGATATACTACAAACTAAATATAACTAAAATTCACTAATTTCAACATTAAAATATATTAAGATAATCTCTAACCAAGTGCATCGCTGAACTCCTCGGAGGATGCGGTTCCATCAAGAGTTGCGACGGCGTTTGCCCGAAATTCTTAATTTGATTCTCGACAGCTTCCCTTATCATGGGATCAGTGATCGTATCGAGCTCCACGCTACCCTCGTACGTCAGATAATAAAAAACGTTGGTTGCGCGTATGGCTTCCGGGCCTGTTGGAAAAACAAGATAATATCAAAATGTTTTATTTATACGCACACACACACACACATACACACACACGCGATCATTTTAATTTATTATTTTCTCTATTACAATCTTATGATTTGTTTCTTGCATTGTCGTTGCGATGCATTCTCCGGGAACGATTCCGAGAGCTCGCACCGATTGCTTTTGGCCGGTATTTCCGGTGGTTGACTCCGCTTTCGTGCTACCCACCGTTCTTGTAAACGTGTTGCGTATTACGGGTGGGACACATTGTCGCGACTGACACACGTGCCTAATTGGTTAGGACATAAGCCGAGAAGGAGAGAGAGGAAGAGCTAACTAAAAACTAATTCTTTCCATACGCGCGAGCTCGAATACCACCGCGCATCCCTCGCTCCTCGTCCCAGTGTCGAGGCAGCATCTTCGAGGAAGCGCCGGATATAGAGGCGCCATCGGCAATTACCATCGGTAGAAATTTAATTTCACTCGACTGCCTCTGTCTCAACACCCGGTGCAACCTTGGGCACCCGCGAGCGGCGCCTGACATTGTGCGAATACTATCTGTTCAATTCACAAGTTACTGCGCGAACCTGACGTAGACGATTTCGCGTGAACCATCGAATGATATGAAAAACGTATCTCAATAAAGTTTTATCAAGAGCTTTTTCTCTGCGCGATGTTATTACAAATACTAGAAGCAGCTAATCAAAGTATACAATATAAATTAAAAGCCGTTAATATAAAAAAGATAGGTGAGAGTAATCGTAATTTCTGTTGTGCAATTTACTACAAATAATTGTAATAGAGATGAACTTTCCATCTCTCGAACAAGTCATATATCTTTATGAAATTGCAGAATAATAATTGCGATCGGTTCTTACTTGCTTTTCTGTAAAATAATTGTATATCACAGATATTTTTCACGTAGAAAATTGGTATTAAATAATATAGTATATTAACAGTATAGTTTATAAAACTTATATTACACGACTGAGATAGACTTATACTGAAGCAAAAATTTATATATAAATTTATATATAAATAAATAGTTTTTATCAGATATATTATGTAAAATGATCAAAAGCGGATTTATATAAAACTAATGATGTTGAAGAGCATCAAGTTCTTAACGGAAAGGATCGTCAATTTAATGTAAAATTTCTGATTGTCTATTAACATTAACAGTGGAGCCTCAATTGTTACAATTTCTCAAAAATAGTTGCAATCTTTAAAATTCCTCACTTTGAAAATTTCCTATCTCTTAGAAAACTGCCACAAAAATGAATATTTTCGCTTTTTTATATAAATGAAGCGATTAAATAAAACAAACAAAACAAACACATTGTTAGAATAGAGTTTAAAGTTGAATCTAAGTTTAAATTACTATTGAAAAACCGGCCCTTACACTTTCTTCAAATTTTTTTACATTATATGTATATGCCAGTCGGGCAAGATTATTATGATATTTTATCGTTTAATAAATGTTTATATATTTGAGAAAAATTCTCTGCGTGTTAATATCCAGTGTATGAAAAAATACTTTCATCTATCTTTCATTATATATAATTCTTACGCAACGAATGCTCTTCATTATCGTAATCAATTTTATAAGTGATCTCACCCTTTTGTTTGTAGCCGAATATCAGGTCGATCCATTGATGTAATTGACAAGATACAAATTCGGACTCGAGAGCCTGAAGAGAGAATTGATTAGCTTCGGTTATTGTTATGCAAATATACTCTCTTAACATGAATCAGTGAAACATCACTGAAAATAGTGAATATACACTGATTTGCACACGGAAAAAAAAGATTTACTAATATATGGACAACTAAAAATATTAACTGCAAGAGCAAATACATATATTAGCAAATCTTTTAGCTATCACAACTAACTTTGCTATGAAAGCAAGAAAATTTGCTCCTGCAATTAATATTTTTAGTTGTCAATATATTAGCAAATCTTTTTTTTCCGTGCAGTTATAAGTGTTACACTGAAAGTGCTCAGTGCTATACTTATAACTGATATCAGTGATTATTCATTGATTCACTTTAAGAGAGTACTATCTTGGAAGAAAGTAAGGTAAACCGAACATACCATTCGATTTATACGTATAAACTCTTCAGGAGATGAAGCCCATGGTGGTAATTCAACGTCACCGACTACGCTACCATCTTCCTGCCTACCCAGATGATAGCGATTGCTATTTACCAGCATTTCCGGCAGAAAGAAGAACTCCGGAATGAGTTCCTGTTAATAAGAAATAGAATTTACGGTAGCCGCTAATCCCGAGTACATCAAATATTGCGTACGATCGAGAATTTATTCAGCGACGATAACAATGGCGACGTGGTTACACGCCGTGGCTCGGCTTAAATGTAAATTCTAGTATCTTAATTAAACGCAACGAACCTTGACGTCAGACGTATCGCGTTGGCAGTTCTTCCACGAGAGAGCGATAGATGAGAATAGCCTGTTGGGGTGGTCGAATTTACCACCTTGTAACGCCAAGAACATAGTCGTCATCGGTTCCTGTAAGAAGCATTTGTTTATAAGCAATATTTTAGAAAAACTCTAGACTAGTTCTCCGCCACTGGAACATGTAAATCCCCCGGCAGAGTGCCGGTAATATGAACTCGGGTGTGAAGGAACGAAAGAGTGTGGAAAAGGCGTGATTCTAAATGACTACTTAAAGGCCACTTTATACGCAAGAGCTTTCTTTTAGAACTCAATCGTTCTCGGTCAGACATCTGTTTCGCTTGACAGACGAACGAACACTAATAAAAAGCTACAATCGATTCATCTTCATGCCGCGAAATAAGAATGTAAACGTACACAAAACCATAAAGTCGATTTTTGTGATTCACCTACAATCATAGTATATATTACATATTAGGTCTATTCTTTTATGGTAAGTCCTCAAAGCCTAACGCTATAATTGGATTGTTCACGTATAAAGCGGCAGCAACGATTGTAGACCAATAAATTATGATGCGATATTTTAGCGTATAAACCATACACGCAAAAAATAATTTAATAATATCAGCTAAATCGCGATATAGTTGATTCAAACTTAGTCAAAAGGCTAATCGTTCAGCTGTCACTGCTAAGAATTGGCTTTGATAGCTAAAATGCATTCGTTATTAAATATACAAATATATTAGGTGACATTATTAAAATGCACATTATTTGAAGTAGCTAAGAAAATGACAGTTATTCCTAAATTTCTTATCGTATGCATATATTAAAGAAGTTTGCCGCATAGCTACAATCATTTGCTAGAGTCATTTGTTTCTAGCAGCCAATATTTCTCGCTGTAGCGCCTAAGTTTAAACAGCGAATAAATTTAGCTTCGGTAATATCGACATTAGCTGGCTCTATTTCAGTGACACATCTTATCTGCCACAGCTATTTTTTAGCTTTGGAAGCTAGTTTTTTTTGCGTGTAGACATAATATACTCTGCATACAGTCAGAAAAGTGAAGCCAATATGTACATCAGCTCCTCTGTTCTCTGTCTCTTTCTGCACAGACAAAGTGTGCAATAAGATTTAAGTAAGACTTTTGTTTTCCAGTCCAGTCAGGGTGCTGTTGCGCTCTATAATATTATGGAAACGAGAAATGGATGCGCGCAATAAAAAAGTGACAAAATAGGAAGAAAATTATAGCTCCTCTATTCTCGTTCTCTTTCTAGATGTTGGCTTCACTCAATTAAATGACAGAACAAAGAGTTCGGAGTCTATGTATACCATGTCTATGAATGCACTGCACTGATAGAAAAATATAGTTGTTTTCGGCGTCAACTATACTTTTTTGATTTTAAGAAAAAAAAAAAAAAAAAACTAGAAAAACCATTTCTCTAATAATAGTTACTAAAATAATAGTTTTTCTAACTATTTTTGTGGTTAAAATCACAAAAAAGTATAGTTGACGTCAAAGACAACTATATTTTTCTCTTTAGTGTGGAATATTGCGCGAATAAACAATTAAAGGCGCGCCGTGCTGTTGTTTTGTATTTAAATACGTGCGATAACGTAAGCACCACAAACACGTTTTAAAACCATTTAAGCGTTACTTAAGACTGATTACATAAATCTATGATACGATAATAGAGACTGTCACGATGACTGGCGCACCGGCGGTAGATGAAGTCGTAATCGACAATAAGAAGATAATCGGGAATTTACATACAGCGATATAGAACGTACTCTCGCGCCGGCCGTATTATCTATTTCATTCCACGGAGAACAAAAGAAGATAAAGACGATTTCCAGTTAGAGCCTGCGAATTTCGAGTGAAGAAGGAAATGCGGTAGAAAATAAATGTGCATATTTTACGAGAAGGTGAGCGTCGTTGGCATACGAGGGCGTTCCGACGCCTCCAAATTAGCGTGCACGCAGTACTAAAAGTGTCGCTTAAATTTATGGCGCGGACTGGACACGTTTCGTAAACGGAGAAAACAAAAATCAGCGGATAGGAAGCTAATTATATGGCCGTGAATAGACGAAAATCCGGCTCCATGTTCTTGTGTTTCATTTGGCTTTTTATCATTTATAAAAATCGTAACGACACGAGGACCAATTAAGCGGATGGCAAAGCGAATGATAAACTCCCGAAATGTCGAGGCGATCGTAAAACGTCGTGTCAGATTAATACAGATACAAACACGTTGCCTTTTCGTATGTTTAGTACGAAATTTTATAAATTTTATAAAAATGTGTTACTTTGTTTTACCATATTTAGCGAAAAACATAATTATGTATATGTAGAAATCTTCCTACAAGCTTTTCAAATATTTGAAGCATCTAAATTTAGTTGTAAACATATGGCAACGCTCATTGAAACTTCTGAGCAGAGTAAACACACTTTCGATATGTATAAGCTGCAGAACTTTTGTATTAGACAAATATTTATTCTGATAGCGCGAGATGTCAATTTAGAAATTTTTTTAACGTTTTCGTTATATATTAAGTACACGGAAAAAAAGGTTTGGTTGAATTAACCAAATATCTGGTCGAATATGAACGATCCAGAAATTTCGATTGAAGTAATCTGAATTTTGTTTAAGTTAATAAGATTTTTGAGAGAAATGATGAGATAAACAGAATTCGAGTTACTTCAATCGGAATTTCTGGATTGTTCATATTCGACCAGATATTTAGTTAATTCAACCAAACCTTTTTAAAGTATAATACTTTATTTTTCTGAATATTTTTTCATATTTACTTTTTAGATGATCAAAGACACCAAATTATACAGAAGACACGTCACTTTCAGGATATGTTAGGGTTACTGTAGTAGAAAATAGTAGGATACTTACTACGCGTATCATCCAGTTTAAGACAAAAGCCGCGGTGGAATAATGCGTGCCATAATGGAAAGGTGGTATTGTGTCGTGCTCCCAACTCTGGAAGCGCTCCTCGAAGTAAACTCTTCTGTTTGGGTTTAATGCGCCGATCGGCTGTGTAACACATAAAAGGTTTATTAATTATTTCGCGTGAAAAATTGATGATAATATTTAAAACATTGATATTTAACTTTGATATTTAATGTGCATGACATGTATGAAAGGAGATCGATAGAATGTTTCTTATCGCTACATGAGATACGCGCGTAAATTTGCAAAAACATGTTGAAATTCTCGCACCTTTGATAAATCTCGATAGTTGCTCGGTAAACTGAGATCAAGTTCCTTCGTTTCGTAGTTCGTTAAAACCCAAGGAAACACCGGATACTGATTTAAGTCGTTGTATGTGCGACCTGTAATAAGATACAAATTCATTTTTTCGATTGATTTATTAATACTAGGGCTATAAATTATATTTGAAGCTTCAGACATATATATATTATATTCGGACAATGAAATTTCGAAATGTAATTATTCGAACGTTCTAATTAGAAATTTATCCTATAATCCTGATCAGGTTCATTCTATTCAGTTGCCCGATTTACACAAAGTAATGCTATCAGATCGTGATAGGCGTATAATGCAATGTAACAATCAGCACTTTATCAATAATGATTATTCATAATTAGAATCTTATTAATAACTAGAATCCGACTGGAGATCAGATAACTGATTAGACTCAACCTGACCAGAGTCATGAGATAAATTTTTAGTAGGCAATATTCGAAAGTTCAAGAATTAAAAAATAGCCCAATTAGAAATTTATCTCATACTCCTGATAAGATTCATCTTAATTAATAAATAATAAAATTTACCACAATTCTCTTATCCAAGTATTCTGCTGTCTTGTGAATAATCACCTATCTTTTTTATTGACTACACGAAAAAAAAGATTTGCTAAAATATATGAACAACTAAAAATATTAACTGCAGAAGCAAATTTTCTTGCTTTCATAGCAAAGTTATTTAGTTGTAATAGCTAAAAGATTTGTTAATATATATATTAGCAGTTAATATATATATCCTGCAGTTAATATTTTTAGTTGTCCATATATTAGCAAATATTTTTTTCCATGTATGACTTCATATATTGCTTGAATTCATGATCGAACAGGAATTGATGATGATAACAAACTCTAACGATATAGCTTATTCTTATAAATCATCAGAAACATACGAGCATAAAGTGAAAATACCATATATTAATAATCAAATATCAGGTTCTCAAAAATCATTAAATAAAATGATAATTTTTTTATTTTTCATAGAAAATAATCTTTCTCTCTGATACAGATATTTTCTGTATAATATTTTTTAAAATTTAGTATTCTTATCTGCTTGACTTTAATTTGTTTCGCTAAAACATTTTTAATACAAAATATTATTTTTTCTAATAGAGAACATTTTATAATAAAAATTATTTTATTACATTGAAGAAAACAATTATTATTATTAAATTATTTGATAAATAAATATTATTATTTAAAGTGGTATTTTTCAAAGATTTTTTTTAGATTCACTAATCCAATTTTTTAACTTGGATTTCATTGAATTTGTTTCAAGCCAATTTATTGTTTGAATTACCTATTATAATGTTTACTTGAAAATCGAAAAATAATCATGAAGTCACTGGTTCATTAATTTACATTGTATCAATTGTATATCGGTTGTTGTTGCGTTTTTTTCGATGTTTGTAAATAAATATGTCAACGTTCTGTGAACATTATAAGAATATTTTATACGAAGTTTAGTCGCAAAATTACTACCAGAATCATTGAGATAGATGCCTACCGTTCGATCTTCGAAATCAAGCAACTGGCAACTGCGTCTAAGAAATGAGATAGTAATTGTGGCCGGCCGTAGCTCGAAACTGAATTACGGAAGAAACATATGAAATGTGACAATCGTTAGTTATCAGTATTCTTTTTTACCAAACATTAACCTTTGAACCATTCATTCAATTATTATATTTGTTTAAGTTCAATAAAATGTATAAAATATTTTTTTTTCTGGATATATATAAAGATTTGACTAATGCTGCAATTCTAAATAGAATCGTAAGTCTCGTAACTTGTTCTCGTAAAATTCGCCAGAACTTATGACTAGATTTACAAATCTATGCAATATCATATGTCGTACAATTACTCGTAAATATCTACGATTTCATGTAATTTACGATATTTACAAATGATTGACGACATATGATATTGCATAGACTTGTAAATCTATTCTATAAGTTCTGACGAATTTTACGAGAACAAGTTACGAGACTTACGATTCTGCTTAGAATTGCAGCATAAGATTTGACGTGATAAGGTCTTATTACGTAGTGTTAAAATAACTTCTTAGATAATACTAAATCTGATAATCAATTCAGAATAATGGAATAAATTTCTAAATAAGAAATTAATATATTAGGATCCTAAAGTGACTCTATGAGAGAGATAAATTTATGATGAATTTTTCTATTTAAGTACTGGTGGCATATTGGCGTAATTACAACCTAGTTATTATAACCTTACAAAAGTTTCTCTTACTCTTATTGTGAATTCTCACTATACTTTTATCAGATATATCATACTTAGGATTACTTTATATTTACCAAATAATTGTACAATATTAGACGTTAAAATTTCTAGTCGGGAGAAGTGTTGTATCTTTAGTAATGATACTTAAAGTGATACTAATTACATAGAATTCTGTTGTACTCAATAAAATTTGTTTTATTAAGAGTTTCAATATTTCAAATCTTCGAATAAAGTCCGAAGCTTCAAATATATCGAATAATTCTAATCGATATGTTTCGTATGGTTGATTAATATTGCTACAAGAATGCAAAGATCCCTTCAAAAAAGCTAACGCTATGAACATTTGCGGCTTGTCTCTCCTTGTATGATTTAAATTATCGCTTGACATCTTAAGCTAAGAAAAAAGGACGAGGAAGAGAGAAAAAACATAAGTGCTTAAATTAAATTCCTTGTCCCGAGAATAGACTAGAAGATTGCGGTTTGGCTTTTAATGCGGGTAATCGTCGGCCTACTTTCTCTTTTTATCTTTCTTCCTTCTTTTTTCTCCTTTTTTTCTTACTGACCCTGCATCTCAGCCACGGTCACTCCTCTGCATCTCGCACCCCCGCTGTTAACTAAGAGCGATGAAAGCAGCCACGAGATCGCGCCCTTCTCGTGATTCTATTTTTACGAAAAACGCGCCGTGTGGCTCAATGGGGCGCGGCGCGCCGTTTAGTAAGCGCATAACTCAGAGCGTGACGGCTAATCGCTCCTGAAATTGTCACTCCCAGAGGTCTCACTCGTGCCCGCCCTCCCCGTGCCCGCGGAATCCTATCCCAAAATGCATTAGTGACGGCAGCGCGGTCCCAAGGCTGAGTTCTAATCTCTTTCCTTGTCGCTAATTAAAGCACGTCAGCGAGTTTGTCACTCGGCGCCCTCGTGACGGATACACGTGTGTTACCGTCCTCCCCCGATCCGTTACTTCGTTTCCTTTTGTTGTGCCATCCGTCCGGCGAAATATCGCGCGAAATTTTCTCGCTCCAGCTCGCTAGTCGGTCGATAGGAACAACTGAACGGCGATAAAATGGATCGAAGAGGTCGACTTGTTGGTTATTCGCCTAAGCGTATTTCGTTGTCTGTATCAAAGTAGAAATTCGAGACACAGAAAAGCGACTTTTGGAAAGATACGAAGGCGCTCATTATTACCGCACATACGACAATTCTTTTTATATTTCGACGCACAACAGCCATTTGTCAGCGAGCTATGACGTCGCGAACTGACGGGAACGTGCCTCGGCTTGGGTCGTCTTCAAGAAGTTCGCCGGATACTTAATTCCAACGACGAAAAAAGACGAGATGCAACGGCAAAGTCGTGCCGCGCCGGCCGCCGCATAAGTCCGTCCCGCCGTCGCTACAATACGCCCGTAAATCGTGGATGCCGCACGAGCGACGGCCGGATGTAAATAATAGCGAGACCACGTTATGCATCAAAGTGATTATTAATGGTAGCGTCGGCGTGAGCGAGCGCTCGAGAAACGCGCCATGACAGCGGAATGTCCGCGACACACGCACCCTTTCGCTCCTCTCGTCGTCAGATTCAGATTTTACCCTTGTTTTCGCCGCTAAACCTTCACCATCCCCGTCCAGAGAAAATTTAAAGAACAATGTGGAATATAATCATGTCGAGTATGGTTATATTGCATTTTAAACATATTTTTTCTTGAAATCCGTATAATGTAACGCATAATTTAATGAGAACAATTATAAACAAAGGTAGAATGTAGCAAGTAGGGAGGTAATAACTAGCTAATCAATTAAAAATTGAGTTAAAAAGTTAATAACTTTTAACTTAACTTGGTTATTTTAAAATGTATCAACTTCAATTTGTAAACTTTTTTATACAAATTAAAATAATTCATTAATATTAAAATGATTCTGGGTTGTATACACACAGAAAAATATGTATACTATTTAATAATCCCCTCGAAATTATGCAACTTTTGTACGTAATATAGTTATTACACACAACGTATAATTTACAAGTTATCAGATAATATATATATATATATATATATATATATATATATATATATATAACGGATGACCTGATAACTTGTAAATTATGCGTTGTATGGAAAATTATTACATACAAAAGTTGCATGAAAGGAGTCATTAAATAGTATACGTATTTTTTTTATAAATGGAAACTTTTCAGCAATTTAAAGGTTAACTTAAATTTTTTATATATGAAACTACTCTATTTGTTTTATATAAAGATTCTTTGTCATATCCTGCATATAAAGTAAAAGTTAATACTTTTATGCATATAATGAAACGAATAAATTGGTTGATGTAAAGAAAACGTGCGCGTATAATTGTTTAAAAGAAAGAGATACATTGCATATTACGCATTTTTCCTTTAACTTATTGTTTTAGATACTCAATCCTATTTGAAGTGTTCAAAATGATAACATCGAGTATTAATGCTCTAAAATGATTAGATATGGAAAATATTGTTTTTCGAATTTCATTTGTATGTATTGTAGAACAAGTTCTTTTTATACGCTCTTTCATATCTTCTTTTTAAGGTAAGATTATCTCCTAAATTATTCAATTTTTAATCATACTATTCTCGTAACTTTTTACGCAAAATATTACAAGGAATCTATTTACGTAAAATAAGTAGTTTCATATAAAAAATCAAAGTTAATCTTCAAATTTCCGAAACGTTTTCACTTATAAAAAAAAAGATACATATACTATCTAATGACTCCCTCATCATGCAATTTTTCTATGTAACAATTTTTTCTTACAACATAGAGTTTACAAATTATTTAGGTGATCTATTTTAGGTGCCTCTCCCCTCTTACTAAATACATAGCGATATTTCTTATAGAAAATTAAATTAGAAAGCCCTGAAGCATTTCTTCTACTATGCTTAATAAAGTAGTTATTTTTAAATAAATTTCAGCTAATCAACGCCGTCTTTTAAATGAATTGATATATTTGTGAGCTTCGCGCCTGATAGTGTATGTAAGCGTTTCGCCGTTGTTCTGCCACACTTTCACGCCGCTAAATAGCTTGCACGGGCTCATAAGCATGCGCCCGTCTAAAGGATGGCGCTGAATAGCTAGAATTTATTTAAAAATAACTGCTTTATTAAGCATAATAGAAAAAATTGATTCAAGATATTCTGATTTAATTTTAGTAAATCTTTACATTAGAGGACTCACTTATTACGATCTTGACCTTGATATTGATTATTAAAGTTCTATCCCTGATTAACGCGCAAAAAGTTTTAGTTGCCCTTTGTTTATTAAAAAGATATTAACAAAATAATTTTTATAAATAGAATGTAATTTTTGCACACAGTTAAAATTACGTTAAAATATGATAAGCAGTACATGCATATATCTCTTTTTACAGCATAACTTAAAATCAAAGAAAATTGATGATCTTTTCTATATAATTATTTTAAATTTACCTTTTTTAATTTAGTTTTTGTTTATAAAATTTAAATTTAACTAGGTTAATTTTATAGGTCATTAACTTTAAACTCTTAACTTAGTTAAAAAAATTGTAACGCACTCAACTCCGAAAATAAATTTTATTAGATTTAAAATTGCACCTAAACATCGTAATTACAGGCGTTGCTTTCTGAACGAATAATTCGGTTGGCTGGTAGCTCGTTCGGCCGGTCGCTTTATCGTTCTGTCGCTGCGTTCTCGGTAATAATTCACCGCAAAGCAGGACCAGCCTAGATACGATCGAAAACGAAGGCGACGACCTGTTGGCAACTACCTGGGACGAAAGGTTCGTGGTTCGACATATATAAGACAAGTTATATGCATCCCGGGAAAATAAATACTATATACAATAAATACTATATATCTGCATATTGTCAATACAAATTTACTGCGCTCGTATTTGTTGCAAAACATCCTTTTTTATATCGAAACTAAAAATCTGAACGGTAACAACGTGTAAGATATTATAAGATCCGAAACAGAACTATAACAGCTTGATCGAAAAGTATTACTGTCATGACAAAAAAGACCATGTAAAAAAACTGGAAAGATGTATTGTATGAAATGTAGGGCTACCTATTGCGGTAAAAGTGATGTGCTAAAAGGTTATTTTTACCAAACGGTTTTAATAGTTACTATTACTTCAAAATAACTAGTTGTTTAAACAGTTATTCGGTTAAACGGTTTCTAATAATCAGTATTTGCTTTTAGATAAAGTTAGATAAATATAAATAAAAAATATATATAATTAAATAAATATAGATTATCATCTCTAGATGAAATTGTTGCGCTATCTTCTCTATTTTATCTAGGTAATGTAAATATATATTATTTCCTTCTTATATGGACACGCACAAGTGTTATCATTACTAAATTATCTAGAATGATGTCCAAATAATTTGGAATATATTGTTGCAAATGTGTAAAATATTAAAATATTTGCTCTTATATGGTAGATGTTTGCGTTAGTACCACCTATATCAGACTACGTTAAAATTGAGTTGTAATTTGCATTGATATTCGTTTATAATCAGGACAAAATGATAACAAACTTACATGCAATCCTAAGGCAATATTCTGGATGATTTTGTTTTATTTCCAATTTACTGGGTTCCTTAATATATCTGTATATATATTTACTAAAATTGACTTTTTGACATTGAGGCCGGGAAAACAGGCTTTTATATAACGCATAGCATTATTTTAAATAATTATTTAAATAAGATGACATATTTTTATTTACAATGAAAATAAATATACTCAATATTTTTTCATCTAGGAAAAAATAAAGATAATTCAATTTTTCGTTTAGATGATCATTTAGATAATTTTATCTAGATACCAGCAAATATTGCTTTATATATACATATATATATATATATATATATATATATATATATATATATATATATAAAAGTATATCCTTCTTTCGTCTCTCAAAATGACTTGATTATAGTATATTGTCCTATTCCTCCTTACAAATATATTAAAAATAAAATAATAAACAGAAATAAATCAATTTATTCTTATTTAAAAATATAAATATATCTTCAACGTATCTAAAAATTATCATTTATCTAAGATAAAAAATATCTAAAAATCTTCTTTGATCTGTATTTGTATCTGAGGAAAGTATAAATTTATTTTTAATCTATTTATTTATCTAGATAAGTAACTTTGTAATTGTGTCTTATCTAAATAAAGTATAAATTATATCTTTTTCAACATTACTAATAGATAAGGTAGTCGGAGGTAGAATAGTCGTTCTATAAACTAAAGGTCCCAGGTTCGATTCACGGCTTAGCACATTCTTCGCTCTGACATATTTTTTCTCCATTGCACAGAGCAATGAACACGATGAGTACAAATTCTTTGATTCTTATGAATTTCAGAAAGTCGATCGAATTTCAGAAGTGCAATCGTGTTCTGTATCTTTGATTCTTGATTCAGCTAATTCTCGCTTCCGGTATATTTTCTTTCTGACTCTGATAAACAATTAGCTCTGTCGTTTGCCTGTCAGATTGTCACAGCAGACTGACAGTGTCTAATCATTATTATACAAACATTTCTAAAGCGCGAGATTTCTCAAATCGTTCGATCTCAAAACAGTCAAAACTTTGTGATACAGTTTAGAGGACACTCGTCACAAAAAGAAAGATTTAAGCACTAAATATATTTAAGAAAAATCACATTTACATAACATTGTAATCTATTAAACATTTACTAAACTTACTTTTTTGTTAATAGCTTTGTAATAAACAAAATCCGACGGTTAAAACTTTTTGTATGTTCTGCAGCATACTTTTCTTAATAATATTTATCAAGATCAAGTTCGTTGGAAAGGGATTCGTTAATCAGTATATTTAGCTAATTGAGCTATTAATCCCGTTTGGCTAAGAGATTTTTTGCAATGTGTTTGAGAATGGGAATTATTGATATCGAAAATGAATGATTAGTACGGCATTACTTGGTGCCCAATATCGATTTATGGTACTCTTTTCCGTTTGAGTAGCTGTCGCAGAGATCCTGTAATTTTGCACGAGGGAAATCACACGTCGCAACTTATTACTCCTCACATAGAGAGACTTGCCATTCGTCATTCCATCTACGACAACGAGAGTCTATAGAATTGCGTCTGGCGGTTCCTACCGATCGTGAGTTCGCGGTCCCCGATTCGAAGATCGCTCCTCGCGATTCATGCTGCACGCGTACGGCTTGCTCGCCGTCGGTGCCAGCTATCGTATTTACATCGGCTTCGCTGTCATTAATTTTTAATAAACCGATGCACGAGCGCGCGAGAGCAAATAAACTTCGCGACTGATCGTATGCGGGAGCGCGGCTCAGCCGAGCCGGCCCGGCGCGGCGTGGCGCGGCGCGGCGCGACGCAGCGCGGTGTGGCGCGGCGCGCCGGACGGACCGGTTCGTTTTCGTGGCGGATCCTCTCTCTTTCTCCGCCGGCGGCTCGACGATCGCACGGCGCACTGGCCGCGAAGCGGTACCCACGGCTATTTATTTGAGCAATTAATATATAACCCTCGTAAATACGGCGCGCGGCCACCCCCGGGCATCGCGGCGCACTGCGCCGAAATGCGAATGATTACGCGTCCGTGCTCATCGCCGTCATTAAGCGTCCGGCCAACCGCCGCTGCGTGGGCGCGCATAAATCCCGCGCGCGCTTGGCGTAATTTACAACGGGCGAGCGCCTAACCGACTCGTTTACAAGAATCGCGGCCGATCGCGCCGGTTAATACTTTCGGCGACGATCGGCGCGCCGCTTGAAACACAGTATCGTGCGTGTACGTCGACGATTATTGTCGGAGGGAACTCTCCTCGCCCGGGGTGAGGAGGACAGCGAGGGAGATCGATCACTCCTGGGAGTCGATGAACCGCGGCACGGCACGTGAAGAGAATCGTTTGATGATACGTTTCTTTCTTCCAGACTTCCCGTGCAATATCAAAGACAAATGATGTATCCTCCTCGCGGCTCCTCCTCGCTTCACTTCCGTGAAATTCAAGATAAATCGCCCCGTTGCACGCAGTAATAAAAGCATAGTGAGCTAGTTACTGAGGGTTTACTTCATGCGCGGCCATTATTAAATATTGAAGTGTTACCGAAGGAAAGGAGCAAAGACGACCAAGTTCGACGAGAAGACCAACCAGGTTGTTGGAAATATGATGCGCTTGGTTGGATCTGTCTGCATCGTCGAGGGATGGCCCGAGTTCTGTCCCATTAAAAAGCGCACGAGGCCGGCATCTCGAGTTTCATGATTTGCTTCGATGAACGCGAGGGAGCGGATATTAAACCGTAGAGAAACAAAGACATGCCTCCATTTCGCCCTCAGCGACGCAAGGATCTAGGGGTGGTAGTGAGTCTCTCGGGAGAGGATTACCGGGACCCACGATGGTGGGATTACTCGCATGGGGTAGCTAACGGAATACAAGGCTGATTGAGAACAACCTTAATGCGCCGCGACAGACTCCATCCGTCCGTGCGTAGCCATAAAAAAAGGAAAGAGAGAGAGAGAGAGGCCCGACATCTCCGTTACTCTCACCGATCTTTTGATACTCGGGCGGAATCGGATATCGGTCGACTTCGATCGCCATTCGCATTTGTCTAGTAAGTCTTCGCAAATAAACTAAAGTAACAAATCTATTACTTACCAGCTATTGTGTTCAGAAACATTAGGTACTCAAAGTTAGATATTTCTCGACGTTGCCATTTTTGAGTCATATTGGAGCTCCTCATCAATTGTCGTGGGGACATCAGTGATGCTCGTCTACGAAAATAAAGAACAATTTAAAATAACGGTCCTAATTATGGGGCATTTAGAGTTAAAGTACTTTCATTCGTTTATATAAACGTGTAGATCGAATATAATAAGGAAACTGTTAATACCAATACAAACATCATAGTTTTAAAGCAAAATTGTTAGACTTTAAATTAATTAATTCTAAATTAAAAAGGAAATAATTAGAAACGTTTATGCATAAGTCTCAATTATGAGTCAGTAAATTATTTCACATCCTTATAACGAATCATACGATACTTAGCTTTATATTAATAGTTTTAGATTAATTTAGTATTTATATGTACATTGTTTTATATGGAATAATAATATACGTAGTACAACTTACAATGTAACAAAAGATCGATCGGAACAACTAGAATCGAATTGAATGAACTCAATTTCTGGACTATATACAGCAAATTAATTGCCTTCATTATAATTTTGATATTCTTTGAGGTAATCATTTATTTGTATCAAACAAGCTAAGTATGTAATAAAATTGATTAATTATGATGTTCATTTGATTATGCCGAAAAGTAAGAGTAACTAAATGAATTGGTAACGAATAAGAAATTTAGCTCAACTTTTCTCTCGAGTTCAATAAACTACATATATTATTAAAGAAAACAATGTAACATTTTATTAAATTTTCTCCCAGGTACACACCGTGATAGACTGCTGATTTAAAAAAGTGTTTCCAGCTTATTATCCAAATATATTAACGGTCAATTTAATAATACAAACACCACACCACACCATAATAGAATTAATTTAAGGTGACAGAAAACTCCAAAATAGCGGACCTATATACTACTTGGAACAGTTTAATCTCAAGTAGTATACATGGCCGCGTGTTATATAAAACTCCAAGTGGTGAAGCTTGCTTGCTTATATCTCTCCGTGACGAAAATTTATCTCTCCGCGAGCGAGCGAGGTAAAACCAATGCAATCTATCGATTGATCACTAAGTTGTATATCCGAATTATATATTTTATAATTTATTCAACAATCTTGAGGAAACTGTTGTAATAATTTCTTTTAGTTGAACAAATTTCGCAAATGTCCATTTATCAAAGTTATTAGTTTAATATATTTATCGGTTTTGACTTGTAGGTTTACGTGCTTATAGGTTTTATGTGTTTTATATTATACATATCAGGTTTTTGTACATCGCCACTTCGAATTTTGTTTAAATAATCGTCTAAATAATTGTGCAAATTAGAAAACGATATAAAATATTACATATGAAATGTCATGTTACATACTATGTACGTGCTAAGTTATAAGAAAAATGTCACCTTGGGTAGTGTTACTTGTTAGTTGAAAAAAAAAAGAAAAATTTATGGTATCCATATATAATTACATTTCAGTTTCTATTAACTTCATACTTTTGACTCAATTTTTTAGTTAAAATTCCTATATCAGACCGTTGAACAGACTTAGTTTTTATTTAATTTGACTTGATTGTAGTTGATGCAACCGAATTTGCTTAACCGATTTGCTTAAGATTTGATCCGTTTTTTTTTCAGTGTAGGTATGGAAATGAGAATATGCATATGCATTTGTCTATGCGCATAGAGTTGTGTCTACAATGAAGTATCAATAATCGAAACAAATATAAACGAGCAACGGTTTGTCGCCGAAACACGCGCAATTGCACGCCAATTTGCCGAAGGTCCGCATCGCGAGGCGTGTGTCATTTCGCAACGTGCGTGCATCGCGCGCCACGCATTTTAATTGCCGAATCAAACGAGCCGGTGTATCGGCTTTAATGCGCAATTAAGACGCCGGTCGCTCTCAATTCATAAGAGCAATTACGTCAAGACGCGTAGCGGCGCTTTGCGTTCGCGCCATAAAGCCCGTCGCGTCGCTTTATGAACGCGAAGATCGCTGATTTAGAATTTATAGGGAGACTTTAACGGGCGTTCGTCCTGTAACGTTAAAAGAGAGCGCACGATGATGGCACCGGACGCATAAATTCAGCTCTTAGATGCGACTCGCGTAAATTTCAAGCGAGCGTGAAGACTTCCAGCGAAATGCTAACCGCGAAAAATCGACAAAGCGATTGTCGAAGTGCGATTTCAACGTAAAAAGGCTTGATTTTAGACTCTTAATACATCTTTCTAAATGAGACACATGTATTATCAGAGTAAACGTATGCGAGATAGTGGAAACCGGGGTAAAATGCTATATTTTCCAGTATTTCGAAGTTAAAACTATTTGAGGCAACTAATTATGATTAATTGTTGATGGAGCATATACTGTACATATATGATAGTGACAATCTTTCTCTATGTTTTATGCCAGCAACGATCCTATAAACCGTATATTTTCTTCTTGTACCGAATCAAATTGGCTAGCAATTTGGAGTAATGTATGAACTTGTATCTTGCACGTTGAAAAATATTTTATCGTGTAAAATTATTTTGCAACAACTAAGGTTCACTATTGCCGTTTGACTTTGGAAAAGAAGTGTAAAGACATATTTCCGTCACCTAAGATTATAGATAATTTTTGTTTTTTATTTATATTAACATAACTTTACATCGTCTGTTTATATGCTCGATTTCAATTATTTATTTTATGAATGAAAATTATATTGTCCGTGATATAGTGTGTATCATAAACACAGAAAATACTGAATTCAATTAAATATTTCATATTTGTTACTATATATAAATATTTCATATTTATGTACTATTTTTTTCATATTTCGCAAAAGTTCATATATTTCATCATAAGATAAAATTTATTCAAAATAGATTCTGTATCCTGGAAAATTTAATATTTTCATTAAGAATATTAAATAAAAATAACAATTTTCGGTTTCCTTACTAGAGTCGAATCAACGTATTCTCCTAAAATCTAAAGTTTTATAATATTCTTGTAAAGAGAATAAATTTTTCTTTTAATAATAATGGGCTGCACTATAATGCGCTTTTCTCACATATGTGATGGATATATTTTAAGATTATTATCAAGAAAATATTTTTTGTTGAAGATAATTATTGCATAAAAAAAGGGAAGTAAATTGAGTAATCGCTTTTCTTTGTATTAGAATGATATTTTGTGTGCACTTGCGGAGAACTTCATTCTAATTAATAACATTCAAATTTATTTACTGAAAATAAAGAATATTAAGACAAAATGTCGAAGACGTATTCGACAGCTACTGAATCAATTTATTTCTACTTTTTAACTGTAATATCATTCTTTCCAATTTTAATGAAATTCAAGGAAAAATATCTACGTTTTGAAAGGAACATTTTGCGATTTCATTTCTACTGTTTCTCTCACGATAAACAAAGTATATACACGATTTAAAGTCTGCCACGAGTCGTCACGCGCGAGGAAATCCGAATATTTTATCTTAGTCGTGCTATTTGCGGAGTAGATTAATGTTAACTGCAAGGTCAGTAGATGTAAATTCACATGTAACTGATATGCTGAAGGAAATATCTAATTACCGTCAATTTATAGCGTTGTTAATAAATAAAGATATAAGCATCTTGTTCTAAGAATTAATGTCGTCAGTATTTTTAAATGCATAAATTCTGATTTTCCTATAAATAATCGAAATCAGAATTCTACACTAATTAAAACTGCATAGTAATTGAGGACGTTACTTGGCGTGAGGTAGCTCCTTACATTATGACTTTCATTATGAATTAATCATGACTCTCTACGGTTGCATGTCAACCGTCGCACTTTTTTACACGGCGATCGACGATCCACCGGTGAAGCTTTTACATAAATTAACGAATCATACGTACGTATATATAAACTATATAGATATACCGATCATATACAATAATAAATATTCCTCGTCGAATACTGTCGACATGACGAAAGTCGCGTCGGGCGCGGAATGCTTTACATTCTCCGCATCGAATTTTAATAACAGATTCTTTAATAAATCAACGATGTACCAAACTTTGTGGCATTTCAAGTTTTAGTATTGGATACCTCGGTAATTAAGAGTTCGCGATCAAATTCCATCGAAGCTCGCGCGTTAAGTTAGAAGGAAAAAGAACAGAAAAGGAAGAAACTAAAATGATTTGAAAATCGCGAGTCTTCTTCAAGACGTTAAATCACGCGGCGTTCTAATTAAATATGAAAGAGCCTTCATCGTTCGTAAATAAATTTCACATCTACGCAATCCTCGCTCTACGTCACGACGTGGTTTCGCGTTTTATACAACGGCGAAATATTTTTTGTTAGCTAGGAATCTTCTTCTCCGATCAGACATCGGAGTTCGCCGTCGTATATTTATGGCCGACGTATCCTTCTCGCTGGCTATCTCGTATATATAGGAACGTTCTAATGGATGGGCCGAAGCGCGAATACGCGAACCTCTGTTCTCACCAACAACCCTTGCCGACCTTATAGGTATTCTACGAAGATCTCCTCTTCGATACCTACGATACATTATTATCATACGGGACATCACGCAGAGATGAATTTCGCATCTTCATTGTCGCTTTTGCGTTCACTTACACCACAACATTTCTATTACTTCAAATGTAATATTATTGAACAAACGGATATGCAAGATTAAATTATTATACGCATAATTATTACATAAAAACAAAAATTCGCAACGCAAAAGCTGCGCTTTTAAAAAATTTGTCTTGAAGTTCCTCACGTATTGACTCTAGAGATTGATGAGACACAATCAATGTTTTCCCAAAAACTTAAACGTCATCGCGCGCGAGCACTTGAACTGAAAACTGGAGGTTATGCCCAAAAACAAACTTTGTCGTTGTATGCATCCGTAGAAAGAAGCGCCTCAAATCCGTCCCAGGCAGAATCGCCCTATTGAAAGGGACAAAGAAGCGGGGGAATGCGACAGGCATGTTTTGGGGACGGTGGACTCTGAGAGATACTTGGAGCCTCGTGAAACGGCAGAAGTGCTTTTTTCCTCGTGTTTCTAGCCGGCTGTCGCTTACCTAGTCTGGGGTATTCCGTACTTGATGCCGACGCCTACCCGCGGTAGTGCCTTGATCACCTTTTTCACCGTCGCCTGGTCCGAGAATGCGAACAGGATCGAAGCTGTGGACAAAAAAGCGTTAGGGCGTGAATTACAAGGGTGGATCGATCTCAGGGGTACGTGTCGCGCGTCAATCATCTGCGGGTGGACGAGAGAGAGAGGGGGGGGGGGGAAGAAAGAGAGAGAGAAAAAATTCTTTTACGTTTGCAAACTTCGATTTCTGAAATTCGAACGTTTGTATTTATGAGAAAGTTGATAAGAATTATAGCATAATGAAGATGTTATGACACAGATAAAACGTTGATACTAACCGCTTAGACGCAGCCACGAGAACATCATTAGCCAATCATAATTATGCTAATAATGTCACGATAACTTGTTTCTCCATAATGATAGAGAGGTAGGAAAGGATTCAATCGCTCGGAGTACGTTTATACGAAGTTCCCCTGAGAATTCAAAGGCTAGCGTGCGGGAAGACTGTTGCCATAAATACTTCCTAGTAATTTACCGAACTGTCCGTACACGAAAACAAGACGTACGATTTAATCTTAATTAATGAAGGAGGGAGTTACCGCTTGGCATATACATATAATACAATCGAATGTCTTTTCTTCCATGAAAGAAGTACAAAAACGATCCAGTTCTACAATTGCAAATATACACATTTTCTTTCATTTTTAATATATAGTATAGGCCGAATTGCGTTCTTCGCAATGATGTACGCTAACTTTTCATATTGCACGCAGAAAATTTTTTTTGAAGAAAGTAATGGAATTATTTAGTATTTAGATCACTCAACAAATCTGGGTAATGACATTAATCTAACTTGGGTAATAACACTAATCTAAGAACTATGTAGATAAATAGACCATATAGATAATGGCATACTAAAGAAACTACAAAAAGTCTCATCCTAATATCTTTAATGGTCCTCAAATTATGAGGAAACATACAAAAACAAACATACAAGTCAAACCTCCTTTTTTAAAAAACTGTACGTGGAAGTATTTTTTCCAAGATGTATGGAACTTTCCAATAGCTTTGGAACATATACGAAAAAAATTCTCATACTGAACACATATTTATTTAATATCAATGCTTTTTAATATTAGACAAGAATAGAATTTGAATGAATTAATGAACAAATAAAGCACATTTTGGTTAAAGGAAATAGAATTTTTAGTTTTTAGAACTGAATGTGGTCCGTATAAAAATTTCGTTTTCTTCAACCAAAAATCGATTCAACACGGAAAAAAATTTGATTGAATTAACTAAATATCTGAAATATAAACAAACTAGAAATTCCGATTGAATTTAACAGAGAATTTTGTTCAATTTAATTTAATTAACTAATTCTAATTAGTTTTTTAATTGACTAATTAATTTAATTTATAATATAACTCTTGTAAATTATAATATTAGTATAAATAATAGTGTTATTCAATAAAAAATTTTTTGAGTATTTAAATCAGGTAAACAATATTTTATTTAAATAAAGAGAATTTAAATTTAAGTAAATAGGTTAATAGCAACCATCAAAGAAATATTTATTGATTTTAAGGTAATTTTTCTTTCAGGGTATGCACCGCCGCTCATTAATAAATAAAATGTCGAGATAATATTTATGTACCAGCATGAATTTCAAGAAGAATACAAGGTAACTGAAATGAATTCGTAATTTTATGTTTTCAATATATATTTTTACCGGAAAAAAAGGATTTTGTTGTCCAAGCGAAAATTTGGACAACCAAAAAGTAATTTGGTTAAAACCAAATAAAGAGAATTTAGATTTAAATAAATATGTTAATGGCACTCATCAAAGAAATATTTGTTGAATTTAAGGTAATTTTCTCCTCAGTGTAGAGCAGACAGATGTTCCAACATCAAACCAGCAATCGCTGTACGTTGATGAAGCTGCTCTCATTCGCGGTCGCAATGCCTCTCGATAACGTGAACATAAGTAGCGTGTCAAGAGACAATAATCGTGAGAACTGTCTTACAGAAGTAACTGTCACGCACGGAAACGAGAGAATCACCCCGCGTAATTTTGGGCGGCTGCAATGTAAAGTATTCGATCCGGCAACCGAAAACAGCATACACAACGTGCAGTCGCATTTTAAAGTAACTCATTCATAGTTTTATTGTTCCACGATTTATCGCGAGAGGAGACGCGATCCGAGCGCGTGTTCCCCGAGAGCGGTCGCAGGCTAACGAACGCGCGTTTCCAGTGATTTTTTAATGAACGACGAAGGCACCTCGCAGGGATGACATTCCACCGGCGACGTCTCTCACGACGACGCATCGAAAGTCAGCATCAGATTAGAATCGGGGAACGCTTGGGAATTTATCTGCGCCCCGAAGAAATAATCAGCGGGATAGTGGCTCGACACAGGTATAAGTAACTCTCCCGCATGGTTTGTTACGGGACATCGACAATCCACTTCGTACGAACAAAGGCTCGCGTTAACGAAAACGTCACTATCGTTGCTCGAGCCCGACAGCGCTTTTTGCTTCATGAACGCCCGAAATTTTTATTCCTACCCTTTATTATCAACGTAAATTTGTCGCGTTTTAACAGACTTGGCGAATTTATATTAATTCGCCAATTATCGATTGAATATAGCATATTAATGAGAATACGAAGTCATACTCTCCAAATTTCTTAGAGTGGAATCTTATTCAAAATGAATGAAAAGTGGTAGTACTTTCATTGAAAGACATAACGAAAATACTGCTGCTTGAAACGGATGTTTCAGTTAAGTTTAGAGTGAATTATTCGTATAAACTTCGTACAGTATAAATGAACATTTCAATCAATTAGAGTGAATATGTTGCTGTAACGATGGAGTACCTCAGCTTTACTCCTTAATTTTAAGCGAAAATATTTACTTGACGACTCAGGTTAGAGAATTTACTCTATTTGAGCGGAAAACTACTCGAATTTGAATGACTCACTTTGCTTCTCGAGTAAAATTTCAGTCTAAAAAAATGATTAATAACGATTAAGAGAGGGGAAAGTCGTATTATGCGTAAAATTGCAAATCGCAATATGACGCTGCAGCGTGAAATACAACAAGAGTAGCAGCAGGTGCGCCCGTACGATTGAATAATAAATTGATCTTAATAAAAAGGCATACCGTAATGCGGGCGAGATATTTATTATGTAAAAACTAACACCGTGGCGCACACCTTGCGGCGAGCTCGGAATTCCGTCGCCATTCGCCGTTCGATTGGATTGCGTCTCGCGTCGTGCGAAATAACGCAGGAAAGGGTTTCAGGGGTTGCACAAGAAACGGAATGCGCTCTCGACCGAAAGCGAGCCGCTGATTGAGGACGAGCAAAACAAGAGGAATCACTGGCACTTACTTCTGCTGGCGAGGAAGATCTCGATGGCCACATTCTGCAGCAGGTAACGCCGCGAGAAGATCGCGCGGACTTCCGAAAAGTACCATTTTCCGTGCAAGTGGTCGCAGTACTTCAACACCTGTAACAGAAATTGAGGGCGATTTTTCTTTAATTATCTTTCCTTGAGGTTCATTCTTGAAGGTCTATAATCGAGTTAAATCATTAGATCTGAGTCTGTCACGTTGTGACTCTATTCATTTCTTTTGCTTATCTGCAGTACTGCATTTTTTATAGTTATGTAAGGAAAGGGGGAAGGTAGGAATTAACTTACGTATCTCGGAGATCATTCTTGGATCGTTGGGGTGTTACTATCGACTGTCGTTTATATAGTGTTTTCCTCTGACTTTCTATTTCTCAACAGCAATGCAGCGATTCGCATGAAACATCGCAAGGGAAATGCCCACTGGGGGCCAAGACGGAATGGTCCAAGGATACGAGCGCATGGTTGGACATAAGTATGGAAGCACGATGCAATGAAGTGTGATGTGATATAGTGAAACCAGTGCTGGTTGCAAGATGGCCGTCATGGTAGGAGGAGCCTCCTGCTGAGTCGAGAATCGATCCCAGGACCTCGTGGACTTGCGCTTTCGAACGAGTCGTGAACAGCTCGTCGGCGAAAGGGGGAGAAGGAGAGAATAAAAAGAACGAGGTTTAGCGAGAGAGTGAGAGAGAGAGAGAGAGAGAGAGAGAGAGAGAGAGAGAGAGAGAGAGAGAGAGA